CATTGCCAGTCACCTTTATTTGTCTATCAAGATATCTTCCGCAAGCTCATAACTATAACAGGTTATGAGCCCGGGCTCTTCAACAACCATGATAAATACAGATTCAGACAAGGTGACCTTAAGGAAAGGAGTTCCATTCAACCAGTGGAAGAGCAGCTTACAAGCAAGACTCAGTATACTTGATGTCGTAGGACATGTCTTTCATGATGTCCCAGGCATAGACCCTATTACCCAGCCATCTAAGCCGAAGGAAATAGATGAAGATGAAGACGCAACAATGAATCACAAGAAGGCACTTGCGAAATGGTCGCACGGTGAGTTTCGTGCAAAAGATGCGATCGTCACTCGGTTGAGCCCCGAGTTGGTCCCCGAAGACTACAACCAGATCACTGCGAAACAGTTGTACGACGAGCTAGCCAAAACTAGAATAACAACAGCCTCCGCACCGTATGAAACTGCTCTTGCCAAATTGTTAGAAACTAGATTCACTGCAACTGCAGATGAATACTGCGATGTGTTCCTTAAGCGGCTGCAAAGTGTTAACAATGCAGCTTCAGTTATGGCAGCTGCAGATGAATCAGCAATGGCAGAAGACTACAAAGTCTATAAAGGACAAGCAGCAGCTTTATTTGTTTTTGGCACAAAAGAGGTAAAGTGGCTTGACATCTGGAGAGGCACGAAGACTCGAACTCTAAAAAATACCCTTGCACCACTGGATTATATGATGTCCACACTGCGAACCCAGGCCGGAGTCCGAAGCCAAGCACCTAAAATCGCCATGATGGCTACTCCACAACAACAAGATGTTAATGAACCAGATCCAGAAGCAACATGTAGGCTGTGCTGGCACAAGCATAAAAACAAGTATTGCTACAAGCAACATCCGGAATTGGCAGTTGGACCTAAAGCAGAAAAGTGGCTGAGTAAAGGAAAGGGCAAGGGTAAAGCAAAGGCATCCATCCAGGAGAATATCGAAGATGGTGAATCTGAATATTCAGAAAGTGTAAACATATCTGCAGCAGCTATAAGTGGAAATAAAATGCCTTTCATATATGATACCGGTGCATCGCACCACTTTGTGAGCATGAAATCTGCCTTTATTAACCTCCACGAGCGTATACATCCATTCAGATTTGACCAGGCTAAAGGAGCGATGGCTCTCACTAAGGAAGGAATAGCCCACATTAAGCTGGGAAAATTCAGGCTAGACTTACACAATACTCTCTACTCCCCGAAATCATCATGCAATATAATCTCTGCTGGTAGACTAGAGCGACTTGGGGGCATAACTATTGACCCTGTCAAGAGGTTTCTGGTGCGTAAAAATAAAGGTCAACCTGACATGCCCATAGCGCGTATTATTCAAAAGAACGATGTATCATACATCTTACCTCTGGAAGGTGGAGGGGAAAGTGTAACCCAGCAAATAGCAGCGCCTGGGGTTGCAAGAGTGCCCAAGACAAATAATACTCAACGATGGCATCAACGGCTGGGGCATGTTGAACAAAAGATTCTCAAGAAAACCTCACAGTGTTCTATAGGTCTAGAGAATCTAGATACTTCAGATCTAAGTGTGTGTGAGACATGCCATCTGAGCAAAGCACAACGCTTTGTCTCCCGCCAACCGAGACTCATACCAAACAGTCCCCTAGATGAAATATTCTTAGACACAGTAGGCCCAATAGCTCCGTCACTTCTCGGTCATCAATATGCTGTTATCATAACTGATGCCAAAACCCGCATGAGATGGGCGCTAGCAATCCATACAAAGGATCAAATTGCAACAACGCTTATCCAGTGGATAAATACCATGCATCACCGGTACGGTAAGCGTATACGTATAATATTTAGGGATGGCGGCACGGAGTTTACGCGGACCAGGGCTTACTGTGAACAACATGGCATACAGACGCACACCTCTGCACCTGAGACACCAGAACAAAACGGACTGTCTGAAGCGGCAAATAAGGTGATTTTAAGAGTAGCACGATCTATGCTCATTGATGCTAAAATGCCGGCTAAATATTGGCCCTGGGCAGTCCAACATGCATGTTTTATTACAAATAGACTCTTTTGTCTCCGGACTAAGCAGGTTCTACTAATAGACTTTCTTAAGAGCCTCAAACAGCCATGCCCAGACAAGGTTGACTTTAATAACTTGCCACAATTTGGATGCCGGGCATATAAGCTGACTGACCCCAAACCAAGCAAATTTGAGCCGAGAGCATGTAAAGGCTGGTTCATTGGATTCCAAGTTAATACAGATAAGAATTTCATTACTCACCACCCACATTGGACACCGATTAATGGGCAGAAATGGAAAATTAGCTTCACACCTCATGCAACATTCAATGAGGATGTAATGTATGGTGATGAATGCAAAAGATCTGACCATCAACAAACTATTGATTATTGGGCAGGAGATAATTCTATCTTTGCTGAATCGACAACGTCAACACATCAATCACCTTCATGGGCACCGTCAGAAGAAATTACCCAACAAGAATTTTAGGGGGAGTACTGCTCACAGAGCTCAAGCCAGCCAAACTCAATAATTCCTGACGCTAATGATTCCCAGCTTGATTCATCAATAGTTCCTCGTGATGAAATTCAATCCAATCATCAGTCATCTAGATCCCATACACAAGATGAGGCAGTAACAAGCTCTCCTATGGAATGGCAGCGTGAATTGAACCAAGAATCTACGCAAGGACCTGTACAACAACGGGATTGTCAGGTAATTGGCCCAGTAGAAACGTCACAAGCAGCTCAACATCAGACTATTTTTAGAAATCATCAAGATATGCAGGGGGTACAAGAACAAACAGGAGACCAACAGCAAATCAGTCCGCCAAATACACAGCAAATTACTCAAAATTTGTCTGATCAAGAAGTTCACGGTCCTCTGACAACATATGAACGACCAGGATCTCCGGTTGGATTAAGTGATGTAATGGACTATGAACCAGATGATGAGTGGACTGAATATGATAAAATTATGACTGGATGGGATCCAGTTCCACCAATTGCTGGACAAAAGCGGCCACATTCACCAGAAGCTGAGACTACACAAACAAGAAGTGGTAGAAATGTTAAAAAGTTAAATTACTATTGTCTTCACCATGGTCTCGCAGTACAGCCTTATACTGATCCCAAAACATGGGAGGAGGCAATGACAAGTGGTGAGTCGCGACAGTGGAGGCAGGCAGCGCAACAGGAAATCAAATCCCTAAAGGAAACTGGAGCTATCCAGATCATTAAAAGATCACTTCTACCAAAAGGTCGCAGCCCAATGAAGTGCAAATGGGTTTTCAAGAAGAAGTTCCTCGCGGACGGAAGTATTGACAAATACAAGGCACGCTGTACAGCAAAAGGATTCACACAAAGACCAGGAATTGATTATCAAGAAACATTTGCCCCCACACCTAGACCTGGAACTGGAAGGATCATGTTAGTTGTAGCACATCAGCTTAACTGGCACAGATGTCAAGGTGATGTTCCAACAGCGTTTCTCAACCCTGATCTCAATATAGATCTATTCATGGAGATGCCGAAGGGTTTCGAAAGAGATGGTCATATCATACTCTTGCGCAAAGGTCTGTATGGTCTAAAGCAAGCTGCAGCGCTATGGTACGACGACGTCAAGGCTACCCTGGCATCACTGGGACTATTCCCAACAATTTCTGATGTGTGTTTGTATGCCAACCAAAGCAGGGATCTTTTTGTTGTGGTGCATGTCGATGATTTTCAGATATTAGGACCGGACATTGATAAAATAAACGATCTCATGCATGCACTGTACAAAAGGTACAAGCTTAAACCTGTCGAAACAAACCTATTTCTAGGAATAAACATAGATTACCCAGACAAAGATACGCTCAAACTAACACAGGGGCAATATGCCCGGACGCTCTTGAATAGACACGGGCTCTCTGATTGTAAACCCGCCAACAGACCTCTGGAGCAATTATTAGAGCCAAATGCCTTGCAATGCACACTCCAGACTAGAACTGAGTACAATTCAATTGTTGGGGGTCTTCAATATCTTTCAAATAACACCCGACCAGATATTGCCTTTGCAGTAAATCACCTTGCGCGTTTCTTGATAAATCCTTGCATGGAACACCTACAAGCAGCGCGTCGTGTGCTCCTATATATCGCAAAAGATCCCGATCAAGGTATTACTTTCACGAGGTCAAAGGAAAAACCAGTATTGGAAGCATATTCAGATGCAGACTTTGCCGCAGATCCATCCACCAGTCGCTCAACGTCCGGCACACTTCTCAGATTAGGAGAGGGGCCAATAATGTGGAGATCACATCTACAGCGTGAAGTTGTACTATCATCAACTGAAGCAGAATTTCTGGCTGCAACAGAGACTTGCTGTGAACTAAACTGGGTCAAGTCATTGCTTTGGGAATTGGGAATTCAAGATCAAATCGAAGGCATTAAAGGCACCAGTCTCTACGTGGACAACCAGTCTGCCATATCACTAACCAAAAATCATGATAACCACAGACGTACAAAGCATGTTGCACTACGAAATTTCTACTGTCGCAATCAATTTCAGGATGGGTCCATTGTTGTTATTTACGTGCCAACAACCAATCAACTGGCTGATGCGTTAACCAAGCACAAGTCACTAGTAACAATAAAATAAGTCTCAGTGGCACTCTATTGTTGGCTCACTCTTTTAGGCCATACTAAGGTCCATAATAGTTATCACCAACAGGGGGAGTGTTATGGTGTGCCAAGGGATTTGTCAGGAGCTAGCTTAGTAAATTAGCCGACCCATGTACATAGAATGTAGAGAACACACACATTCAATTAGATAGAAAACTAAGTCTGCACACATTAGCTCATTGCTCCCATCTCACATATTCGTTCTCCTTGTACATCGCCAGTCACCTTTATTTGTCTATCAAGATATCTCCCGCAAGCTCATAACTATAACAAAGACCCTTACGACTTATCCGACGGCCCGGGAGTTTGAAGGCGGCATGCGTGATGCTATCATTGGACATGGCAACTTACATGAAAGCGGGATGTTTCTAGATGAGATTTTGGCAGAAAATATCATCCTGCCTAAACCAGACAAAACAGGTGTTACCAAAGCTTCCTAGTTGGTTTAGATATGGCTTCTTTACGTCGAAACCACGACAATTGAGATCATCCTAAAGCTATGAGTGGTATCCAAAAGTATATAATTTGTATTAAATTGGGAGGCCTTCTATAGCTGCATGACTATAGAGAAGACAAGAGTTTTAGCACAGTGGGAGGAGGTTAGATAGAATGAGAAGCGATAATGTTGTATTCACGAGGGTGAGATAGACTAAAAACTAGGTACAAACTTTCTCCATGCGACTGATCTGCATGAGTAGCGTTATTGACGCGACTCCTAAGATTGAACTTGACTATTGTCGAACTAATAGACCTGTATATGAGGCTGAATAAGGCTGAGAAGGAAGCACGCGCAATCAACCGTGCGTTACATATTATTAATTCTGTTTTTGATTTTGATTTTGATTTGTGTTCATTATCCTGATTTGGTGCCCTATGGGCCCATGCAGGTGGCTATAAACCTATCTATATATTTACATAGGAGGAAACCTCTCGGTGAAAACCCCCCAAGCTTTCTGATTTAATTCTTATAGTTTGCAGCTTATCCTTCAGGAAGTACAGTTACACTGTAACGCCGTCAATGTGTACCAATCACGTCCCTTCTATCGATCCCAACCTTCCACATGTTCCCTCTCGTTCCCTGAGCAGCATTTCGACTACATTTGTCAAGCGGAATTGTTCTATCCAACCATGATTAAGAATCCATTGTGTGATTCTTTTCATATTGCTAGGATTGTTGGTCATTGCTTCAAAGGAGCGATTTCGGGCTTGTCTCCAGATTTCTCCTCTACCAATTGGCCACTTAGGGCAGGACATGATCATGTGCTTGGAATTTTGTGACTGGTAGCCACACGGACAGCATGGATTGTAGACTCCTGGTAATTTTCTTCTATGCGAATACAAATATAGCCCGATATGCTCGCTCCGAATCTGGATTGCTAAGCTACTTTGGGCCCTTGTCAGGTTTTTGTGGAGAGAAAATGGCGGCTCCCGGAAGCTTAGTTTTGTACCTCCAGAATGGCAGCATTGGTAAAACTTTGCTGCTGCCCAAGTTTTAGGATCTGCTGAAGCAAATCTTTTAGGCTGTCGAGTTTGCTTTGTGGCTGACCAAGATTTTGCCCATTCTGGGTACGCTGCAACTCTTATCGCTTCTTTTTGTAAGTCCTTGGATTTCTCCTCTCCGCAAATCTCTTTCCAGTATGCAAGGTCTCCTCTTCTATTATGTGCTCTAATATCTTCTCTTCCTCTTCTGGGAAGTTTTATTTTATCACATGCTGATTGAATAGTCTTTTGAACTGGTAGAGAATTTGAGCGGCCTACATACTGAGCTGTCAGACCAGTATCAGAACCCGGTGGAATTTGTATTCCTGAATTAATGTTTCGTGATTCATGTAAATTCCATTCTTCTAACATGATCATAACATTATTGTCAGAATAATATGCCAAGCTGGTACCTGACATAATTTGTGATTGCCTCAGGAAAACCTTGGCGTTTTGGGTGATTTTCAGCTAGAAAATGCTTGGCGTCCGTGTAACAGACGTGGTGGACTGGTATTGAGTCGGTTTAGGATTACATCTTGGCTACAACATGTTTGGATTGTATCCTGTGATGTAAGGAAGCTATTTCTAGATATTATCATCTTACGTCAGGTAGTAGATATGTGTAGATATATAAGCTGAGAGAAAGAGGAAGGAAGACAGACAGACAGACAATTACATCTTTTTATTTCACTTCAATTAAAAGCTCCTGTGCGAGCTATTCTTCCAGATACCTCTAGTCTCAACCATTACAGCTTCCGAACCAGCTCAAAAGGTTCGACATGAGCCCTTTGTTGCTTCAAGTAGATTTCTATTGGAAGAGTAGCAATCTCATGTTCCAGCACCCTAGTGCTGGTCGATTTGTATGCTCCAGTTACTACTTTCAGACAATTTCTTTGAGAGCTTCGAAGGGGTTTGTTGTGTTGTGATCAGACCCACTTATAGATCACACAACTTTGAATGGCTAGTACTGGGCAAGTGAACCAACAGGACAAGCGACCCTGCGTCAATGATACGTCATCGGCACACAGCAATGACAACACCAGTATCTCAACCATACATGATTATATGATAATATGACGCAGGTATATCTAATGACATAGTTGTTGAATGGCTGAATGGTTGACAGTTATTGCTATTGATGGTATATTGTATGTATTGTCTTTGTGTATAAATACTCGCTACTAGACCTCTGTATATGATCAACCTTTTCCACTCTTATATTCAATAGTCATCAATATAGCAGATCTTCAATATATATCTGTCTTCTTCACGTTAGACTTAAAGTGCTATCCTACATCAACCCAAGTTGACTGTTACACCCATTGTGACAATTCTTAGACTTCTCATAACCTCATTATTACAATATGTTGTGCTACGGTTATTGTAGGTTTACCCGAATTTACTAATAACATGACTCGGGTCGGAGAAGTTAATGCTGATACGTGATGCATATCAAGGAAAATATCTTTTTGTTCGGATTTTACATATCTTAGAATTGGGTTTACATTTATGTTTCCGATGATATTCTCATTTTATCTGTCCTGAGCACGGTTTGGTATGTTTCGGTGGTAGCATTATTGCCAGCGAGTTATCTAGTAGGGTTTCATATGAGGAAAACTATGTATCTTAGATTGTGACGGGCTGTGACCGGATTGGGACTGGTCACTAGGACCACTTCGTCTGCAAGGTAAGGTAGTGGCAAAGCAACGCTCCTGGATAGACGAAAGGGGACTTTAAGGGGGTACGTGCCAGATGGGGGAGTACGATACAAGGAAGAGAGCCGGAAGAAAGGATTAATTCTCATATGGCTAAAGGTGTTATGGCCAGGCATCCTGGAAGAGGTTTCAAGGAGAAGGTTCTGAGGAAAAGGTGATATGAGAAGGTTTTTAAGAAAGGTTTTGGGAAAAGGTTTACTGAGAAGGTTTCCGAGAAAACTCTGACAGTTAGAGATGGAGGGGCTGGCGTCATGACGGCATTTGTCATTTGTCATAGTCTTAGTTGAGTTCAAGTACTATCTCGAGTTAGGCTTAAGGAAGCTGGAGCTGCCACATAGTAGCTCTCCAGCTTCTCAATCTTTCATTCTTTTGATCTTTGATCTTGCAATCTAGATTTACATAATGTTATAATTGTATATTCTCACAGTCCGATATTCTCAGTCTTTCGTTATTTGTTACATTCTTTGTACTTCTGTTCACCCCGAGATATCATTCTTGATTGCCTGCTCGGCAACTCGACTTCTTGACTTCATGTCTTTCGACTATTCTGTGGTTCCACAACCTTAGACTACCTGGCACCTCGCCAATCGAATCATATCTAAGTATCCTTCGTTAGCAACTGTAATCTGAACAGTTATTAATACCTTACCTTCGGCAGACGGCGATCCCCAGTATCCTTAGCGCACGCCGTAACAAAAGGGGGGAATTAATACTAGCGTACGCGAAAGACATAAAGGACAGGATACAATACGGTAGTTTAGCTTTCCCCAAGGAAAAATTATTCATTCCCATTGTGTTAACAACTTCAAGTGCTTCTGATTTCCTTAAACCGTTACATAGATACTCGATAGCCAGAGAATAGAGGGACAACCTTTCGATAATTTGTTACCTTCTACTCTCATTTCCAAAATAGTCCAACAGGGTTTGACTATCCTCTCGGGTATTATACCTCCTGGCCCGACCTCAGCCCAGATTGGCGACCCATACTTAAGGGCCGGTCTCACTATTGTCAAGGGATAGAGTGAATTGAGGGAAGTTAATGTCACATGATATAACGCGTCTGATACGCAATTCACGAGGTATATATTTTTACAGGACTCAATGGGAGTCACCTTTCTTCTTTGTAGACAATCTCAATCACCAGATTAGACCTCGTCAATCTACTTCATGACCTTCCCCTGACATATTGTCTACCAAATCACCTTTAACTACGACCCTCGCGCGTAAATCCTATACCCATACTGACAAATTGATTCATATTCAAATAGTACCAAAAGTATAATTCGTACTAAATTTTCTACATACCTATCACAGAGATGCACCTAAAGAAAAATATATGAAATCAATCATAGAATGGATAGAAGTTCTCGAAATCATGACCTACCTAACAACAACCACACCCCTCAGTTCAACGACCAGAATATAGACTTCGTTCACATGTACCCTCTGCTCAACTCCATCCTAAACCAAGAATCTTTACTCAACGCCATGTAGGGACGCAACGCTGTAGTTAGTCCTATTTTACTCAGTAATGAAATCGTTTCCCTAGCAAGCTCATTCAGAAAATTGGAAAATGACCTCCGCCATTATGAGAATGACCATGACACATAGCCTGAAAAGAATTGTGAATTCTCTGATGTAGTCTCTGATCTAAAGACAAAAGCAACTACTACTGAGAGAAATACCTCAACACATTGTATCTACCGGTCTGCTCAACACCCTGACCCAGATGTCTTCTCTGCGGATAACATTGATATGCACAAAGAACTTCCCTAATTTATCCGGAAAATAAATATGAAGTTTATTGCAAACAAGGACTGGTTCCCGTCTGAAAATACTAAGATACTTTATCTAATTTCCCGCCTCAAGGGAAGAGCATACTCCACCATTTCTCATGGTATAAACAGAAATGGTTTTGTCAAATACATATCTGTTGATGCCATTTTTGTCCTCCTTGAACAAACATTTGGGGAGATTGAACCATGTAATGCAGCTCGTAGGAAAATACTGAACATTAAACAAGGACAGAAAGACACTGCCTCTCACCTTATTGACTGGTATGAAGTTGCTCAAAAAACGGAGCTTTCTGATGACGCCTTAATAAACCATCTATACAATTCTCTCCATCCCACTATTGTGTCTCATCTCCAAAATCGTGTAATGTTGCGCCAAGAATTACCAACAGACCTCTCATTGCATTTAATCGAAGTTCGCCACATTGATGCTGTTCTTTGTTCATCTGATCC